CTCACGGCTCCTCTTGCTTCCCGCAGGTCGCACCGGGAGGTACACGCTGATAGAGAAATGGAGGGACACGGAGAGGCACTTGGCGCCTCATGAAAATCCGATCATCTCGTTGAATAAATGGGGACAGTACGCCAGCGACGTGCAGCTAATACTGCGCCGCACTGGGCCCTCCCTGAGCGAGAGGCCAACTTCAGACAGCGTGGCTCGAATTCCAGAGAGAACTTTGTATCGGCAAAGCTTGCCTCCGTTAGCCAAGTTGAGGCCCCAGAATGACAAATCAATAAAAAGGAGAGAGCCAAAAAGGAAATCTCTGACTTTCACTGGGGGGGCGAAAGGATTAATGGACATTTTTGGTAAAAGTAAAGAATCCGAGTTCAAGCAAAAGGTGCTCAACAACTGTAAAACAACAGCAGATGAGCTGAAGAAACTGATTCACCTCCAGACAGAGAAACTTCAGTGTATTGAAAAACAGCTGGACTCCAATGATGCTGAGATCCGCTACTGGGAACAAAAGTATAATTCCAGCCTGGAGGAGGAAATTCTCAAACTAGAACAGAAGATCAAAAGGAATGAAGTAGAGATTGAAGAGGAAGAATTTTGGGAAAATGAGCTACAGATTGAACAAGAGAATGAAAAACAGCTGAAGGAGCAGCTCCAGGAGATGAGGCAGAGGATCCTGGAGTGTGAAAGCAAGCTGAAGGACTACATGTCTCAAATCCACAATATGGAAAGTGGCCTTGAAGCAGAGAAGTTGCACCGGGAAGTTCAAGAATCCCAAGTGAATGAAGAAGAGGTCAAAGAAAAGATCGAGAAGGTGAAAGGTGAAATTGATATTCAGGGCCAGCAAAGTCTCAGATTGGAAAATGGCATTAAAGCTGTAGAAAGATCTTTGGGCCAAGCTACCAAACGGTTACAGGTAAGAATGTCCTTTTTATCTATAGCTGAAGAAAAGTCAAAGACCTGATTGTAGTGAATTTTTCTTTAACTGATTTAGAGCCAATGAAAATAAACACAAGAAATTCTCCACAGTGAATTTGAGTAAAAGGAAGAAAGTGTTGCTCTCCTCACTTTTACATTGTGTTTCATCAAATTTTAAGAGCAGATGATTTTCATTCTACTTACGTGTGTTTTACTCTTTCAAATATTTTTTTTAAAAGAAAAAGAAAAGCTAGTTTTTTGTGCCGCAAAATAAACAGTAAACACTTTGGTAGATCAGTTCTTTGAAAGTTCAGAAGGCCTAGGTGACTTGCGAGATTAGCACTGAACATGACATGCAACCTTTCACGTTTACATGCTAGCACAGTTCCTCTCCTGTCAGCAGCAGTTTTGACTTGCTACCGTCCACCGGCTGTCTGGTGACCTCTGAGAAATCATTTGAAGCGTGTCTCCGCCATGCAGTGGAGCATGATAGAGAAATACCAGAGCTCGTATCAGCCAAACTAGCTGGGGACAATATGACTGCATCTGCATGGCAATTCAGCTAGCTACTTTGCCCTGCTGAGAGGTGGTGTTCATTAGCTCGGGTGTAGCGCTGCACTAGTGGGTCTCGACTGTTTTACAGTGCAGACAAATAACATCTAGTTGAATAGTAGCATATTTAGGGCTAGCAGGCAGATTGCTGTACTGTTGGGTGTTAAACAAGACCGTGGTCCTTTTGATTTGGGGTCAAATATCTTAAGAATTTGGGTCCTAAATCTGGCAGCTCAGTGCTTCATTTTGCGAAATTTCAAGGCAACTTGCATCATTTTTGCTTTACCTTTTCTGAGGCTAAACTTCTGATTCTCACTGGGTCTATACACTGCTTGACAAAAATGCGTTTAAAAGATAGAACAATCCAAAAGCAACACCTGGATAGATGGATGTAGCGCTAAGGCAACTGCTAGCTTACAAGATAGTTGTTTTGAAGAATAGTACCTCCCTTTTCCTGTTTGACTTGTTGATGCTCAGAATTATTTTCTCTTCACCTCAGGCTTTTGTGGCACATGTGTCAATAGAGAATCCAGTCTCTACTTCCTTGCAAAAGTTAATGATATCACTTGGAATTTAATAGAGCGTGAAAGAATAAATGTGAATGGAAATCCAGTTTGTAGCAGAGAGATGAATGAGAAACTGTGACTCTGGGGATCAAACTTACTTCTGGTGTTTTAAGGTACCATATAGCATAGGACTGAGGCTTTGTGCATCAGTTTGAGTCGCAGTTCTTGCTGTATTCCTAACATTCCAAGTTACTGTATTCCACAGTGCCACAGTTGCAGTAACGTGAGTCTACTGTGAATATGTAAAGGGATTTTGCATCCTTACTCCTGAGCTCCCAGAACCATGTCAATTTAAGCTGTTTTTATTAAACAAGGGGGGGAAAAATGTAACCTTTTCACCCAAAGCAAAATGAATGAAAACTGTAAGCAGTTTTGACCATATATATCTATTCCAAGTTTCCAGAGATGTTACTTAGATTTGTGCTACCTGAAAATGTCACAAATCCTTTTTACCAATTTTACCAATCCTCAGTAATACCCACTGAGGCTACGACTGAGTTTTTTAAAAAAAAAAAAAAAAAATGTATTTCTTGTTCCCTTTTTTTCTGTAGGCTAGGGTCTAACTTGTTCAAATAACCTCCTGTTAAGTTAAAATCTTCCAGGCTTGTTCTAAACCTAAAGGCGCACTTATCTAGAAGGTCAGAAGAAAACCAATTCAGCTCTATTATACAGTTTGGGGGAAGGAATAGAGAAACATTTTCCTACATGTTGAAAGTTTAAATGTTAGCATTCATAGAACTAGTTGACCTGAAACTAGAAAAGTTACATGTGAAGTTTTTGGGGTTTGGGCGTTTTTTTGAGGGGAGGAGAGTTGGGTGTGTGGTGGGTGGGGTTTTCTTGTTTGGTTGGGTTTTTTTACACCTCTGAATAAGGAAGGAAGAAAAGAATTTTGATTCACTAGATTTAAAGTGATAAAAATTGGCAGTTGAAAAATTTCTAGTAATTCTCCTACCTCTTCTTTCACTCCCTTCCTCTGGTCACTGTTACTTTGCAGCCGCATAAGGCTATGTTTAATTCAAGAATCAGCTGCAGCACTCTTTGCTTTCCTTGTTTCTAGAGCAAGATTTTAAATGCCAAAAAAGCCACCCTTCCTCAGGTAAAAGACCTCACTAAAGAGTTCAAGTAGATATGAAATTAGGAACTTAAGCCAATAGGATTTGAGGAGATGCTTAACATTTTTACCTTGTTTCCTGTGGAAATTGAAAAATTTTAAGAACGAGCTTTTTACGATGTTAGTTCTGCTACTTTGCATGTTTTAGTTTTTTTTTTTTTTAATGAATTCTCTTCAGTGACAACTTTGTTATATTACTGTTCCAACAATCTCATGGAACACAGAGCTGCAAGATTAACATGTTAGTAAATAAACACAGTTTGAGAATTTCTTGTCTCCTGAGTGCCCAGCGTAGAATCTAACGAGTGTGAAATAAATTGTGAGTTCTTCCTTAGAATCATCTTAAATATTGGAGCTGGCCTTGTTTCCATTTCTCAGTCCTGTTCCTGTGAAAGCTCTTAGCAAATGAACGGAAATAAAAATCTAGCACAGGAAGCTGAGCCCAGCCACATGATCTGAATTGATTTGAACAGGTCTAACAGAAATGCATCAGTGACAAAGCAATTGACATTTGAATAGTCCTAATTTAGACTTCAGTTTTGTTGTTTTTCTAACTTGCTGTTGAGTTCAATCTCAATAGTGACTTTAATGCAAGTTTAAAGTAAGCAAAGGCTATGCTCTTTGCAGACTGTTATAGAACAGATGAGCAAAAATGTTCTCTGATCCCTGTTTGAGGTCCTGTATAATTCTGCTTGCACACGATAATTAGGGAGAAGCAGCTTGACTCAGCCTCCCTCACTTCCTAAAATGAGAATGTAATGGCACTTGCTGAATGGAAATGCCCACAGATGTGCTACCTAGGATCTGGATAGCTGGCCTATCACATGTGTGGCCAAAAAGGCAAAGCCCATCCGGGCCCTTGAAGGGTAGTGCATGAGATGCAACTCTTTCTGCTAATGAAGCTGAATCTGTGTGGGGGGAGAAAACTCAGTCTAAGAACATCCTATGTATTGGAGCTGTTGGCTCTGCATATCATGCCAGCGTTAGACCGTTGAGGAAGTTCCTAAATGATCGTTTTCTGAATTACATTAGGGGGTGGTGAATCCACCAGAATTTGGGCTCCATCATACAAAACACAGTATGCTTGCAGAGTGGGTTTTGTACACAGGAGCTTACACTCTAAACAGCAAATGCAAAGAACAAGAAGAGGAAGGAAATAACCTCCTTTTAGCAACAGAAGAATTAAATAAGTTGTCCAAGTCATCCTGGACGTTCCTGGCAGAGCCAGGAATTGGTGCCAGACCAATGCTCAGTTGATGCATTTTTCATTGTGCTCACTATTACCTTTATTTGCTCGCTTCTGTTGTGCCAGTTTTATTCTCGGACAACATGAGAAACATCTGCTAGTGGTCTAAGAAGCGACATAAATACACCAGTAGTAATCTCTAGCAAATAATAGTGAGTGTTGGCCTGCTGTCTAAATCACAAGAGTAAAATACCTTTTAGCTTTTTCATTTGCACTTGAATTTAAAAATCAAGGCTTTCTCATCAAAAGGAGAAGCAGTGTTAGTTGCCCAATTACAAAGAAAATGCTTAAATTCTGCTTCATGCTCGCTGCTGCTCAGTGGATATTTTCTCTCCCCTGGCAGGACAGGGAGCAAGAGCTGGAGCAGCTGACAAAGGAGCTGCGACAAGTCAATCTCCAGCAGTTTATCCAGCAAACGGGAACAAAGGTCACGGTGTTGCCGGCAGACCCCGTCGAGGTGGAAGCCCCGCACGTGGAGCTCGAGAGAGGTGCAGTGCTCAGATTTTTGGGGTGGGAAGGAAAAGGGGAGGAGAACACGTTTACCTGTTGCATTAATGCTAGGACTCATACATCAAGTGAACTCTGTCTATCAGCAAAGAATTTAGCATAATATTAAGAGAGCATGGTGTCAAATACTTCATTCCAAGGGTTTTAGCAAGCTATAAATAAACTGGAGTGTGAAGATAACTTTTCTCTCCTGCTGTGCATATACACATTTGTTCCATCTGTAACCTGTTAGGCCAGTAGCTCTCAAGCACCATGGCTGCAGGCATGTAAGATGCCGCACAAAATGGCTGCATATCTGACATTGCTGTTCATCTGGGTTCCTCCTCTTCTGGTGGGACATGTTGTCAAAGAGGAAAAAGGAACGTGTCTAGATCTTGAGAAATCCCAGACAGCAGCCGCATGGGAAAAGGAGCTAATCCAGCTGGGCTGCCAGCCATCCAGAAGTCCTGCACAGATGGCTGTTGTGGCACGTGCAAATCGACTTTGCCTCAGTGTGTTCTGCACGTGCCCATAGCTCCATTCAGAATTTCTGAGGCAGAAATATGGGAGCGCTTTAAATGTTTGTCAGAACTGTGGCACAGGCAGAAACTCTGTTGGTGTGGCTCAGCCTCCACGGCGTTGTACTTTATCCAGTGCTCCGCTCACCTCAGTGTTCTCCTTAGCCTGTTTTGTCCCATCTCTCAAACTTTCTAACCGAAAGGCATGCATGGGCTGGGCTGGGAGGAGAATGGAAGAAGATGACATCCAGGTTTTGAATGTCAGCATTTTAACAATAGAAAGGTTTTCTTCCAAAGTGGACAGGAAGTTGGAGACTCGAATATGCATAGGTGCAAGCTCTTTCTGCACATTACTGTATAAACACCTTGCATTATCTGTGTGCATGTTTGTTGTGAGGCGGGGGGGTAATTGTATTGAAGATGTATATCTGTTTTAAAATGAGTAGGAAGCGTGCACCTTAGGTCTCCATCACTCCATAGTCAGGCATCTGAATTTGTTGCATGTGAGATGTTTTTCTGTACTACACTGAAGTGTACCTCTAAACAGGAAGAAGTGTGTTCTACAAACGTTACCTTTCATGATTTTTCTGTTTTCTTTCTTGTGCAGAGACAACATTTCAGTCTGGGTCACTGAAACGCCCTGGCTCATCAAGGCAACTCCCCAGTAACCTTCGGATTCTACAGAATCCCCTGTCATCTGGTTTTAACCCAGAAGGCATTTATGTATGACAGTATATACCTCTTCTGGAGAGCACCTAGAAAGATACCCCGGACAAGATACACTTTTTTTTTTTTATTATTATTCTACCAATGATGAATGGAAGAAGCTTTTCTGTTAAGCCACCATATTTTAATTTTCTTCTTCCTCTGACACACCACTTGGAGCCATACCCTGTGCACTGATGCTAAAGAACAGAGGAGCTGTTTCAGCTCATAATTGGCAATGATGAACTTGCTGTCACACAGCTAGAGTGCAAAATCCTTCACTCATTTTTGCCACTTCAGAAGTGTTTGGGAAAGTATTATTCAATGCATAGGCATAAATAAAACACTGAGCAGGGTGAAGGAAACAATGTATGCAACTGATCTGAAGTTTAATTTATTCCCTTTAATCAATGGACATGTGAATGTTGACCTTTTATATTTTTATTTTTAACTCGTGAATAATCATATACTGTTGTACAGCAGTCTGACAAGGTGACTTTAATTTGTGTATACAAACATCTAGCATTTGATCAAGTATAATAACTTGCAATGCAGAGTGTTTTGTGGAGTGCTGAACCTTTAAAATGGTTTCTCACCACTGATTGTTTTAACTTCTGCTGTGGGTCATATGTCGTGTTCCATCTGTTGCTACTTTTTAAGGCCTGAAAAGTGAATTTGCAGGATTTACTTGCTGTTGGGTCTGCCTTGACTGAAGCACCTAGTGTTCAAAAGATTTATGAATTTAAACCTTGTCTTGATAAGAATATTTCCAGCATATGATTGAGGATGCACTAGTTAGATGATATTTTATTATATAGAATGTATATTTGAAATATTTTGCCACATTGTATATGCCTTTTGAGAAAAGAACAATGTAAGAAGTTGTCTTCATATGTCTTACCAGAAGAGGGTAGGAGGCTTTCACTGTGTGCGATTTTGTACTTTATTTTTCCACTAGCCGTTACAGTGTTCTTGTTTTGCAGTAAATCTTGTTGTTGGAGGAGGGGAAAAAAACAAAACAGAACAAATGAACATCCTCTTGTATAGCCTTCCAGAATTCACTCAGGTTCTGTGGAGGGAAGAAGGTAGAGAGTCCTGTGAAGTCAATAGCAGAGCTTCTACTCACTTGAGCGGGGCCAGGACTTCATTCCAGGTCTCCAGCGCTAAATGGGAAAACCGTTAGCCTCTTTGAAAGATACGTTGCTGTTCAGTGCCCTTACAAAGAGGAATGGGAGGAAATTCACACATTTGGTAGTAAACTTCATTTGCTTCTTACAATAATATATGAAAGGATAGCATTAAATATCTTGAGGTCACCCTAATGCAAAGGTAACGAAGGGTTAGACAAAAAAAGCTCCCATGCGAAAAGAAAGATACTGCCAAGCAATATGTGGGTCCCAGTCCTTGAACTTGGACTGATAAAATGGACACCAAGTTTGTAAGAAAGTTATTGGCCTCAGTCGGATACTTTGTATGCACGAGGAATCTAGCCTCAGGGATGAGATAGAGAACGGATGGGCCTTACCTACTTGTGTTTGGAATTCCTATTCTAACAGCAATGCATACTGTCATCCACACCTTTGCAATTCCCTTGGCGTCAGAGGGGGCCACAGTGCTCTTTCACTGCAGTACTTAATGTGTAGGTCCCAAGAGGATAAAAGCGAATGGGAGCCCCTGACTCCAGTCAGTGGCAAAATGGCAAAACTCCTGTGACTTTCATAGAATCAAGGTTTTACCACCAGTTAGGAAACTCCAAGCTTTTTGCCATAGAAAATACTTAAGAATTCTTAACTCTTAGCATTCTCTTGTGTGGATTCACTGATGTGCAGATAAATGTTAATTAAAAGTGGGGTTTTTCGTTTTTGGTGGTTTTTTTTTTTTAAGGAGCTTCCTAGTCATACTGACAAGAGGAAGTTTTATAAAATATAGTAGAAGATGAAGGACTCTTGAGTGTTTAATGCATTTTTTTCCCCTTTCCACTTATTAATGGCATCATATATTCGAAAAATGCTGCTGTATTTAGACTAACAGCAACAGAGAAGGCTGTGAATATATAAAGGACCTTTTCAAAATGGACTCTGAATTTTTACTATTTAACTTGTCAGGTCTGTCTGTCTTGTGAGCAAACTGGAAAATGAGATGTTCTTACCCAAGCAATCTTTGCAGTGCTCACAGATTTTACTGTTAGTTTATCACAATTCTGTGCTCATGTTTACTGTGCCCATAACATTTTTTGTATTAAAAAGAGAATGTGTGTATATGTGTGTGTATATGTATATATATTTATATATATACACACACACACATTTTATATATATATATATATATATATAAAAATATATATAAAAAATATCAGTGTAAAATACACATAGTTTAGGGACAATATCTGTCCAAGGTACTTGAGCATATATGCCTTACATTCTGGGTTCAATTTATAGAAACAAAACAGCCCTCCTGCAGATACTTTGCATCTTCAGCACATCCTCTTGATGTTAGAGAACTGAGATACTCAGCACCTTGCAAAATCTGGCCCAAATCATGTTGCATGGGGGAGAAAAACCACATGGAAAAGCTTGTTCCAAACTCTGTTATGTACTGAGGCAAAGCCTTTTTAAGGCAGATTTGCATATTTACCTAGCTAATGTTTTTTGGCATGCTGAAAGTGACTGATCCATCTCCCATAGATTTAAGTTTGAGCTGAATAAGGCTCTTGACTCATAACAATTGTTCTCTTTCTCTGTCAGGTTATTCTTGGAAATGGAGAGAGGAGGAAAATGATTTAAAAAGGCAGGAGACAAGGGGCTTTGGAGGGCATGAGGTATGGCTTCATAACAATCCAGGAAGGAGTTTCCCATTTAAGTTAAAAATTGACATCTGCAGATTGCAGCAGCTGTTTGACAGAGGAGCAAACCTGGAGCTGCCTCAAGAGCGGCTGCCACATCATTGAGCGGACCCTCCCTGTCAAGGCTTTAGCATAGGTCAAGGTGATCTGAGAAGTGTTTACAGCTTCAGCCACTATTGTGGCAAAGGAGAGGCTTTGGTATCTCAACCTGTCACCTGAGATGGTGACAAAATGTTTTTCCCCCGCAATACTCCTTATGCTCATTGAACTTCACCCAGGTTAAAGCTCTGTAGCGTTTTTACCATCTCTGTAAATAAACCAAAAAGAAATGGCATGTCCTTGCATTAAATGTGAACTGAACAATGTACTACAACTCTAAAATTTCTTCACGTTATGGTGATAGAGTTTTGCTTCTGATCCACTTCAGAACCTCACTCTTTTTCTTTACAAAACTAGAAATACTCATTTTCAGAAGCGTTTCACACCTGCTTATGGGGCATTAGCAAAAAGGAAGCTGCTCATATAATTTTAACAAGTGCCATATTATGTACTGGCCAGCATGATAAATACAGAGGGTTTTTCTGCATTAAATAGTTGAATACACAAGCACTATTTTTCCAGTGCACAGGGAATTTATATGGACAGCTGTTTTTATTACTAATGGGAATTAAATGTGTTACCTCTCTTATCCATGAGGATACAGTTTATTTTGGCTGATCATGCTGTGCTGTTGAGGGAAAGGGAGAGTGACTGTTGGAAAAGCAGACAGGTTAAGGCTAATGGGAAGAACTTCTAAATACCCAAGCTATTGAGAAACTCGAGTCCCACTCTGGAAAGTGAGCTAGGATCCTACCTCCCATTATCTTTCAGTGGGACTTAGGCTCCCAAGTGCCTGAATCACTTCTGAAAATGGTGTGTTAGCTTTCAGATTACTTGCTTTTCTAAACCCCTGCAAGTTGGAAGGAAGTTGTTTAAGAGAACCACCGCTAGCATTAGAAATACACAAACATACTTTCTGCGTGAAGTGAGAGGGAAAAGATCCTTCAAAGAAATAAAAATCTTCTGGGGGCAATAATTGCCTCCTTTTTAGCACGCGGAGCGTTGCGTTATTCTAGTGAAGTGGGATCACGTGAATATGAGCAAAAAACTGATCCTGTAATTTTTAGTGAGTTATCTTGAGGCATATAAATTCCTGATGTGCATTAACTTGAGTGAATTGGGCCTTAATGATCCATGTAAATAACAACTGTATTCAGATATTTTTCCAGAAAATAGTCTCTAATGGTCTGTACTGTATTAAAATAAGTGTCAAAGTGTTACTTTTATATTACACTTTTTTTTTTTTAAGAACATTGAAACATGCATGTTTATTCTATTTGCTACAGTATTTTAATGTTTTGGATGAAGGCCATCAGCTGTATGGAGATGACAAAACAATCATTCTGTCTATTTATTCAGTATTGCTGCTTAAAGTTTTCAAAATAAAGCTTTCAATGCAAATATAGTGACTGATTGAAAGCTGTTCTAGCTCTGTTCAGATGCTTTTTTGTATGTTTGTAGAAAACTAAATAAGTGAAACTTGGTATGTAAACTGTTATACCAGCAGAGAATTATTGCAATAATATTGTGGGGAGGGGTTGGGTGTATGTTTGCGTAGTATATACACAAATACATGCATGCAGTGAATGCATTTAGGACTCAAGTAAATGGAGTGCTGAAGAATATGTTTAAATCCTTTGCTGTCTTGCAAGCAACCTATGCACATGATCAAATACTGGTTAATGCTTGATACCAGCATGCTATGCTTATTAGAGAGAGAACAAGTAGAGAGATGGTCATAAAGGTGTAACTCGGAGCCTTTTGGACCAAATGGGATTTATCCACGTTCTTGAGCATGCCATACATGTGTTTCTGAATTGGGCCTAAAAGCATGTTCTGATTCAAAAATCTTTCTGTTGCAGCAAGGATGCCTCACTTCAAGCATAGCTGGTATCTCTGAAAACTTTAGTCGTTCTGAAATGGGTCAAATATGCCCGCTGTATTTAGTAAAGAGTATCAAAATGCAGAAAACGTTCACCCCCGTGAACGTGATCATCCAATGGAACTACCAACTGGGGGGTTCTGACTGGAAGATTTGAGTTGCTGAAGCTTTAACTTAGAGAAGCAATGCAAACTAACTGTGAAAACACAAGTGAGCATTTTATTACTGCTCTGCTTCAATGCAAGATGAAAATCTGTATTATATGTAACTATATTTTCTTGTCATTTAAAAAGCTTCTATTTTTGATTATTCTCATGAATGGTTGACAAAAGATATTGAATATGCTCCCATACAATAAATTCCCCTCTGAAACTCTGGGTCTTTACAGTTCATGGTTTGCTGGAATTGCATTGTATATCTCATGCGCATCTCATGATACAGCTGCTTGAACTGCTGTCCATCAAAGAAAACTTAGTTTGAAAGTAGGCCAAGATCATGTTCTGTGTGTTTAGATCTCAAAACTTTGCAGAAATGGCCATACTAAATTCATGATGTCTATTCAGAAAACCCCTCAAACATTCAAATTGTGTTGAGCGTTAGGATATTACACTCCTAAATGGGAATTTATTTAGTTGGGGGTATGGTGGGCAACACAGGGTTGGTGTGCAGCTTCCAAAGAAGACAATAGATATCCTCTACTAGATAGTCTGCAGATACTATATTTTCAATCAGATATAGCCCAGTAGCTAGAAGGAATGGAGGAGCTTGTTTTCAGCTAATGAGCTGTTACTAAGAGTAATATTAACCCCCAAAAGATGGAATTGGTCAGTGACTCGGTATAACTTTTACAGTACTGATGCAGTTGGTTGGTTGGCGATTCTCAGGGAGGTGAATTGAATGCACGGTCTTCACGGAAAAAATACAAGGTGCACATATGCTTCAGGTAGTAGGAAGAAATCAAACTGAACAAGGAACTGAGGGCCAGATTCAGGTGAGTTAAATGCCACTCAATTCTTGCGCTGAAGGGAGGAGGGCCTGTGAAGATGGTGTCAGTTAAGGGAGGAAACTCACCATAGCCAGGCATTTGTGATTTAAGCCATCCAAATACAATCCTTAGTTAAATATCCCAGTGAATGATTTTTCCCTAAGCCAACTAGGGACTAATCCAATCAGATGTGAAGGG